CAGCCAGCGCGCGGCGGAGCGGCGCCTGGGCCTGCCGCCCCGGGAGGGCCCGCCGGCCTCCTCCGCCGCCGCCCCCGGGCCCGCGCCCCGCGCCCGGCATGGGGGACCCGCTGCCCGCGATGCAGGGGGCCTTCTCCGGAGCGACCATGGACGGTGAGTGCCCGGCCTGCTCGCCGCTTCCCCCTTTCTGCCCCTCCCGGGAGAACCCCCCCCGCCTCCTCCTCCTCCTCCTCCTGGGAAGCCGTGCTACTTCAGAGGGAGAGGGGGCCCCCGACTCCCATCATCCCCATGCTGGCCGGGACCAACAGCGGCTCCCTGGTCCCCCCGTAGTTCGCAGCCCCCTCGATGCCGCCTTCGAAAAGCGGGCGCGCGGGCTCATCCGCCTCCCGGTTATTAGTAAGGAGGGAAGATTGCCCGGGCCTCGGTTCCTCGGACGGTGTGTGTGCGCGTGTCCCCCTGGTTTTTCGGGGTGGGGGGCTTCCTTGGCCGCCCAGCTGTTGCTGGTGAGGGAGGTATTTCGGGGCGGGGGGGGGCATTGTGTCTCAGAGCAATGAGACCGAGTGGAAAGGCTGAGTTGGGATGTAGGTCCTGGGAATGGGTGAAAGTGGAGCGCTGGGCCACCCCACTCCCAAAATTGTTGTTAATCGTATTTGGAAACTTTCAAAGTCATCTCGTTACACCTGGGGCAGCTTCCATCGGGAGGTAGATTTGATTTATGTATTTTTCTAAAAAAGACGAGCTGTTTCCCAGTTGTTTTGAGCTATTGGTTCTTTGCCTCTGTCTCTGAGCCCACATTCAGTTTTTTAGTGTGTGTTAACTCACATCTGGTTTCAACCTGTAAACATAAGTGGCCATGATAAACCAGTGGTTCCTCAGAGCATGTGTTGAGTATTGTCCATTATCTTTTTAGCCAGATTGCTTAGGAAAGAGTTTGGTTCCCAGCTAGACTTCTGGACCTTGGCAGTTCTGTCTTCAGAAATTAGGGTGCTGCTAAGACACAGTCCTGCTTGTGTTTGGGCACAATAAAAGTCTTCCAGAAGATGTTTTGGTTGATTTTTCTCTTGACTTTACTCTTCCATGTGGTTCCCTTCTGTCAAATTTGCTGTGACGTTTGATTTTCTCTTCTACAGTGGAGATGTGTTTAGCGCCATCAGAAATGTTTTTCATCAAGTGGCATAAGCTAGTTTGTAGAAGAAGGCATAGATGTGTGTTGAAAAGCAAAATGGCAGCCTGAAGGGTTGATAGTCAGTACTTTTCCTAGCACTGGTTAGCTGCATGAATTTGGAGGATGCCATGCTGGGAGTGATTTGGCTCCATACAATGGTCCAAGTAACTTGACTTTGGACATGGACATTCAGTGCCCAGAGGTTGTCTGTGATGAGCTGCTGATAGGTTATCCCTTGAGAAGCAGTCGCTGATTGGCTATCCCAAGGGATACAACTCTTAAGTCCCAGCCAGCATAGCCATAATGTTAACAGAGTGTGGGAGCTGTCGTTCAAAAAAATCCTGGGGGGTCTACATGGTGGCTGACCCCTTTGGGTTGATGAGGTCTTGCTTTCAAAAACCATCAGTGGTCATGACCATCACACCGTAACTGAGATTATTGATGGCTGTTGAAACCTAGCTTACTGTGCTGTCTGAACCGAGCTGTTGGGTTGTGAACTGTGAGTTGCTTACCACGGTTTATCTCCACTCAGCTCATTTTTCAGCAGCAGTGACAACTCCCTCTCAACCATTGAATATGGGTTATGTTGTCTGAACCTCATCGGCGTCTGGATCGTTGGGGAGGTTGGAAAAGATGACATGTCAGTATATACTACATTGAGAGCCCGTGTGGTGGTTTGAGTGCCAGAGTGAAAAGGCAGGAGATGCAGGTAGCAGTCCCCACTCAGCCAAGGGGTGACTTAAGAGTCCGTCTCTCAGCCAAACCTACCTCTCAGGGCTGTTGTTGTGAGGATAAAAATGAAGTGGAGGAGGCTTCTTTGCCAGAGGATAAAAGGAATATAAATGCCAGCTAATGCTGATACCATCCCAGGTGTTTCACTGAAATTGCAAATAACGCAACATACACGCCTGTGTCCAAAAAGAAAGCACAACACTGTACCACATCAACAGAAATAGACAAAACCACGGCTAAGAGTAGTTTCGGCTTCCTCTCCTCCTGGAGGGAGAATATCATCATGACTAAACAGTCCCTCACTACAGTCTGGGTTCAGTAATGGTATTTTATTGGGCCCAGCCCATGCTTGAAAGTTTTAGGGTGGCAGCAAATAAATGTTTTGGCTTTTTCCATACTTTGTGTTACGCTTTGATGTGCAGACCCTCCATCAAATGCTTGTGTAAGTCGGATATGTAGCCGCTCAGCCCTGCCCAGGCATCTCCAAGATAATATTTATTTCATGGCCTTCCCTTCCTCCAAGAACTGCAACTTTGGTCATATTTTCTTTATCCACACACCAGGCCTGGGCAAGAGACAGGGAGTCCAGCACAACAGCATGTGGTCAGTTTTATAGCTGAGTGAGGATTCGAACCTGGCCAGGTGTAGAACTGGTACTCTTAGCACTATAGAGGTTTCTGGCAGTGGTGGTGAAATGTAAAAAAAAAAAAAAAAAAACCCCACCAGTTACATCCCACTTTTTTTTCCTTTGAAGGAACTTTACACAATTCTCTTCCTTTCAATTATGCCCTCACAACAACAACCCTGTGAGGTAGGTTAGGCCACCTGCTCCAGCTGGCCCAAAGTCACCTGGTGAGCTTCATGGCTAAGTAGGAACTAAAATTCGGATCTTCCGGATCCAGAGCCTGGCATGTAATCACCGCACCACACCGGCTCTCAATCCCATTTTTCCGTTCCTCAAAGCCTTCCTTTTTTCATCCTGCATTTGTTTCAAGTGAGAAACGGAGGGCGACCAGGAAACAAGTCCCTTGAAAGGAGCACGTGTTGTGGAACTGTCCTTCCCAAAAGGCGCCCCATGCCAATAGTCTGAAATGGTCAGAGGTGGTGAACTGGTGGCCCTCTAGATTTTCTGGCCTACAGGTCCCATGATCCCCTTTTATGGAGCCTAAGGCTGAACCCCTTAACCCTAGGGCTAAGCAACAGTAAGGCTGGGGGCTATCTCATTTGCAAGTGGCTGTGGCTGATGGGAGCTGAAGTCCAGGACAGGTTCACGGAAACCCAGTTGGGGTTGGTTACTTTAAGGATGCTCAGATGAATGCTCCCAGTCACATGCCACATGACCCGTGGGCTTTCGCCAGTGCAATTGTGAGGCATGCTTCCTCAGAATAAGCGATTGCATTCACTCACAGGATTGGGTGTCGGGCTGTGGGCTTTGTCGCTGTTTATGCCCTCGACAGTCCCAGTCCGTTGTGCAAACGCAAGCAGCCGTCCGATTGTGTGTACTTGCTTTGAAGTGTGTCCAGCTCTCTCCGACTCGGGACCCAGTACAGCTTCTTTACTGACAGTGCGCGCACACAAAAACATCTTGCCCTTTCAGGTGTATTTGGTATATTCTTTAAAAGCCAACAACATGGAATTACAGGAGCGAGTGCTGTGAAAATGCACCACTTCCAGGCATTTTCAGTTTGTGTGATCCCTCCCAGCCCTCCAGGGAGGGAATTGCAGTTCCAGGAGCGAAATCCCACCCTCTGTTCCTTCAGAGCTTCCCTTTTCCTAACCGCTGGTCATTTGGTGGTTTTCTGGTGCTTACGCTACACCCCCTGCCCTTTCTGAAAGGTTGGAATTCCTTCCTTAAACGTCATTTTGTTAACAATATTTGCTTATTTATCTGGCCAGGGCAACTTCTTTTATATTTTATATTTATTTTATATTGTTAATTTTAATTTTATATTGTTATTTTTGTATTTTATTGTATTGTGTTTGTAAGCCGCCCCGAGGCTTCGGCAAGGGGCGGCATAGAAATGTTCTAATAATAGTAGTAGTAGTAATAATAATAAATACTACTACTGTTAGAGCTTTCAGCTAAAATAGTTTCTGTGATGGAATTTATCGCTCAAAATATCCTCACCCTCTCCAACCCCAAAGGTCGTTAAGTGCTGGTTATGAACCAGATAACATATGCACTACCATTTTCTA